AGAAGGAGCAGAAGGTGGGGGGAGGAGAGCTGGGGGCGCCGGCGGCGGGTGCGCGTGGAGGCGGCACTTCGCGAAGTGGCACTTCGAGCGGCCTCGCGCTGCGGGGATTGGGGTCCCCAAACTCTCAGACGCCGGTCGCGCGGGCCGGGTTTCAAGGAGCTGAGAGGCTTAGACCCCGTACTTTCGCAGGTAAGTTCTCGAGGCTGGCGGCGACCCCTCCCCCCGCCCCTGGGGGGAGGGTCCTAGGAGAAGACCCTGGAGAGAGCTGGACCCTGGACCCTGGACCCTGGACCCGGACCCTGGGCCCTTGGAGGGAGGAAGCCTTAGGGTAGGAGGATTTGAGGGGAGGATCTTAGGGCGAGGACTTGGTTGGAAGATCTTAGGGCGAGACCGACTCTAGAGATAGGCTGATGGGAAGGGGGAGGGAGGCTTGGGGCTAGGATTCGCCCAACCCTTCCCTAGGGGAGTGAGGACCCTAGGAAGGAGGGTCTGGAGAGGTGGCTAGGGAGAGGATCCTTCTTGGAGGACTGGGGGCAGAGAACTCCAGGGAGAGAGAGGATCCTCCTGATGGCAGAAGATACTCCTTCGGAGCTGTGTACTAGGTGAGGGAGGTCTCTGGGGAAGGAAGGATCTAGGGTGGTAGGAAAGGAGGGGCCTGGAGGGGTGGAACGCTGAAGGAGGCGGAAACCTGGTAGAAGGGAGAAAGGAGTCAGAGCCACCTCTTTTTTTCTTTTTTTTTCTTAAGAAGGGTCCTGCCTAAGGGTCCTTTTCAGGAGAGTCTGCTGAGGAAGATGACCATGTTGGCACACAGGGTTCCCAGTACAATTCCCTTGGAGAAATATTTACATAAATTAGACTAACATAGAGGAATTATTTGCTTTACTTTGTAAGACACCAGATCTGAGTGTTTCTCTTTAATTAAACCTGACACTCACCCCAGCATCCCATCCTTGGAATATCAGTCACTCATTGTTTCCTTCAATAAATGCAGGCACTTTCGTGGCCCGCCTGGGCAGCGAGACCTCATCTCTACAATAAAATCAAAAAATCAGCCGGGCGTGGTAGCGCATGCCTGTAATTCCGGCTACTTGAAAGGCTGAGGCGAAAGGATCGCCGGAGCCCAGCAGGTCGAGGCTGCGGTGGCTGGGAGCGGCCACTGCACTCCAGTCCGGGCGACAGAGTGAGACTCCAACTCAAAAAAAAAATAAATAAATAAATAAATAAATAAATAAATGCAGGCACCCAGGGGAGGACAGATCCGCAGGACTGCTAAACTCCCAGACAGACCTCAAGAGGTTCAGACAGGCCCAGATGCAAGGCTCTGCTTCATGTGGATGAAAAAGAAAGGGAAGTGAGATTCAGGAAGCACTTGCCTCCCCTCCCACTGCACAGCTCTGTGCCTTCTCTCCTTTGGTCTAATTTCTTTGCAGCTCCTGGCCTTGGCTTTCCCCTTTTTCTTTATTGTCTCCAGTGTTTCAGGGTAGATCCCTGTTCTTTATTTTCTCAGAGTCCTTTGGTTGCAAATGACAGAAAGCCAGCTCAAGTTGGCTCTAACAAACAAGCGCATTTATTGGTGCAGGAGACTGAAGAATCAGGAGCAGTCAGGAGGGTCTTCCTTGTCCCTTATGTCCCTTCTCCTCTGGGCCAGCTTGGTACAGTGCATCTCCACCCTATTCACATAACTTGACCCTAGGACTGACATCCACTGGACTGAACCGGGTCATGGGCCACCCTGGAGCTGGGTGAGCAGAGCAGCCCCTGCTTACCCAAAGGAAAGTTGAATGGCTGGGACCAGTATGACAAATGGAGCCTGGCAGGCAAATGCAGGAGGTCTCACCACTGGGGGAACTAGGGGGGAATTAGCCTGGCTAGAGTTTGCCCCCTGGAATTGCTGCTCCCGTCAATAATAGACAGGAGAGGGGGGAAGGAGCCCTCACCCCGAAAGTCTCCTGTGGTCCTAGGGCCTGCTGTACCTTCAAGATACTCCCAGGGTTCTTTCCTGGGCCAGTCTGCTTATGATCACCCTACTCCATCCAAAGGGACACTCATATTTAGCTGCCAACTCAGAGCACAGCCTGCTTTCCAGGCGGGCCAGTGGCTTAGTAGTCTCGGGTCCTGGGCCTGCTCCCTCCCCTGGCAGCTGGGCAGGAGCCTGAACAGCTGGAATGGCAGCCATCAGTGAGAAGTGGGTTGTCAGAACACCTGCTTCAAGTGAAAATGATAAGTATCGCATGCCAGACATAGACCAAGAAGATGCATTGTGGCTGATGGCAGGCACAGAGCAGGACGTGGTAAGGCCCTTGGACCTAGGTAGGAAGGGAGAACAAGGTCAAGAAAATCGGTGCCCTGTCTGGCATCTGTGCCGCCAGTCTCCGGGGAGGTCTCCATCCAGGATACGCCCATCCACTTCACCTCCAGGGAGGAGTTCACCTAGGATACGCCCATCCACTACAGCTCTGGAGCAAGGCCCTAGTCTCAGACTAGACTTCACCAGCATCCTCTGAGGCCTTTCTGATTTGTGTGGAAACCCCTTTAAATGGTGTAGGCATCTGGTGGGGGCTGGGAACCAAGGATAAGAATTCAGATCCTGAGCTTGGACAGACCAGGCTTGTGGGCTGGACATCCAGAGACCAGCCCTGATGTCACTCGAGGTGAAGTTAGGAGGACTGCTTGGCCTGACACCTTTTGTATTTTGTGTTTGAAAGGCATTCAGAAGCCGGGCTCGGTGGCTCAGCCTGTAATCCCAGCACTTTGGGAGGCTGAAATTAGTGGATTGCCTGAGCCCATGGGTTCAAGACCAGCCCGGGCAACTTGACAAGACCTCATCTCTACAATAAATCAAAAATGAGCCGGGCGTGGTAGCGCACGTCTGTAGTTCTAGCTACTCGGAAGGCTGAGGCGGAAGGATCGCCGGAGCCCAGCAGGTCAAGGCTGCGGTGGCCAGGAGCGGCCACTGCACTCCAGTCTGGCTGACAGAGTGAGATTCCAACTCAAAAAAAAAAAGAAAGGCATTCAGAGCCCTTTACAAACCTCATCTTGAATCTCTCCACTTGACTCTGAGAGTGTGTTGGGGTAGCTATGAAATCTGATTACGTGCCTGAGGGTTCAGTGGTGTGGCCGGAAATTATGGGCCAGACTTGGGCTGTCACCTACCCCTCTACAAGATGGACAGAAGGAAACCAGCATCTAGGTGGAGAAACTTCCCTCTTCCCACCTCCTCCCTAGAAGGAATAGCAAGAGAGGTATCGCCAGCTGGCTGGGACTGCCAGCCACCACACCCTCTCAGACCAGGCATCCCCACCCAGACTGGGCTCATCTTCCTGTGCTGTGGTGGGGGTGGGGTGGGTTTCACAGATCTGGGTTCTGTGGTGGGAGTGGGAGCGGGTTTCTATAAATGAGCAGCTCATCAAGAGTCACTGAGAAAGGAGGCAGACGGGAGTCCATACGTGCAGGTTTTCCTCTCTGATGATTGTCAGTCCTTGCCTGGGCGGAATGTGGAACTGAGAAGGACGGTCGCCATGGAGGGCTTCAGCACCCAGCTCCAAACCACAGTGTCTGCTGCTTGGGCACCCACGAGGGGCCCTTACGCACAGTGCGCTGAGTGACTTCAGCCACAGGCACGAGTGACTTGGGCCCAAGAATTCGACCCCACTGAGCTTCTGATGCTGACCCCAGGTCAACCGACACCAGGATGGGTGGCTCCGGAGAAGAGGCCTGTAAGCAGGGAGCGTAACTGCTGCCTTCATCAGCTTATTTTTAGGTGCGTTATGTAAGTGGCTTCATCTCAACGTCACATGGGGGGGGTCTCAGATTTAATTACAGGATGACAGCCTTTGCTTTTCAAGCAAGCTGTTCTCCTGGCAAGGCAGGCACAGGATTTGTGAGTTTATGCTAAACAGAAGGAGCCCTTTCTGAGGTGACCACCCAGCAGAACTTGAACCCATTTCCACCTCCATCTCTCCCCTCCTGACCAGTGTGGCCCAGCCTTGGCTGAGCTTGGCCCAAGAGAGTCACCATTTGTCCGAGACCATGGGGACATTTTGTGCCTGTTGAGGGAGATTTCTCCCTCCAGCTTCCCCTCCCCTCCCACCCTCCTCCTGGCAGCTTCGCCTTTCTCTCTAAGAGAAGGATCCACCCAATCACAAACTCCTCTTCTCCCTTTTCATTCCTGGATTTAAGCACTTGTAATCAGTAACCAGAAAGTTCCACTGCAGAGAGACCGGAAGGCGCTGGAACCCCGTGGACGGGCTTCCGGGCAGAGCCAGCAGACGAGCCTCCCTTCCCCTTCTCTCCCACCCTGTTCTTGCTGCCTGCTCCCTCCCTCCATGCAAGGTGCTGTAAGCGGCTGGGCCTGGGCCAGGGCCACGGGTGACGCTGTCCACACTGTGTCCGGAGCACTGTTTTCCAGCTTCCTTAACAGGCTGGATTGCTCCCATGTGCTTCACGACTGGTAGTGCTAACAGCAAGAAGACAAGCACAGGAGGACCTTAAATTGTGGGGGCCAAAGCCCAGGGTCAGGGAGTCCCGCTCCTGTGCAGGAGGCCCACATCAGCCTCCTTTGCACACTCTGACTTCGTCCAGTCAAGGGTAGGACCATGTTTCCACTGCAGGCTGTTTCCTGCCGGGGCAGGGAGGACAAGATGGGCTCTGATGTCCACAGACCCACAGTGCGCTTGGGAGTGGGCAGGGTGGAGGGGCGTCAGCTCCAGGAGCCAGACACCCCAGTACAGGCAGAACCGCAGCTGCTGTGGCTCTGGAGCAAGTTTTGCAACTTCTCTGAGCCGCTGGAAGTGGAAGGCAGAGCATTGTTGGGAAGAGTCAGGCATAAACGGGTGTGAACAGTACTGAGAGCAAGACCAGGCACGTGGTGAGCCCTCAGTGTGCCTACAGGTCATTGTTATTATCAGTGACTAGACAGGACACTAAAGAG